AATTGAATGCTTATTTTACTTTGTTTTGATGAGGGGCATGAACAACAGAATTAATTGAAAATTATATCAGTTTTGTACTTTATAAATGGAGTATAATATCATTTGACAAATGATTTATAAATAATTTAATTTTTCCCATTTTATGCGTATGCATGCAAAACTTACTCTCCTGCGATGTATATATATGCATAAAGTAAGGCTACATATTTTACATTTCATTTTCATACGAAAATCTAGCACAAGTAACCCGAAAACAAGAATCTGGACAAATAAAATCCATTCGTAGCTTATGTATAAATTCACAAGCGCACTTGTATGCTCTATATACTATATATTTAATAAAATACGTCTGTCTATATGTGTTGGCTTGAAATGGAAAGCAACAAAAATCACAAAGGTGCTATCATACGTTAAATTATGTAAATTGAATTTTCTGTTGAAAAGATTTCAGAGTTTTCTGAATATAAAATCATCACATAATGGAAGTTGAAGTGAAATTGAAAGAGAAATTTTAGTTTTATAAATAAAAAGATGAACACACATACACACACAAAACACACATACACGAACACACAAATACATGCAATAGCAAATTCCCTGTTACTGTCGAAAGGGCAGAAACCACACGCCTCACCTAAGAACCAAACTACTCGGCAATTGTAAACCATACCTGATACCGAATATAAACCGAATTTCAGAATTAAAATCTTATAATCACATGAAGGCATCAAATGTTAAAACCAATCTTACTGGAATCTCGTAACCACACATAAAAAACAGAACATCTGCTAAATAGCATTTCAACTCACGCATACAATAAAACTATTATTCAGATGTGAAGTGATGCAAGTAAGTTTAGGCAAACATAAAGGAATTACTGCTTAACGCGTTCGGAAATCTTCCACTTTCTCTTTACGCTTTCAAGGTCTCTAGCAGTGGATTCGCAAGCCTCGACTATCTTTAGTCCGAGTGCTTTTTTAAACGATTTTCCCAGTTTTTCTTCAAAACAGTTTTCCGTACACTTGACATTTGAGAAGTTGGGCAGTAAATGCGATATAAGTAGAACGTAGGGTAAGGTAATGTTTTATCCGCCGTTCTTTCTTCTTTGCAACCCAATCGAATGCTTACTGTCAAAAGATCTTTCCTCCTACTCGTAACTATTTCAATATTGAAAT